GAGAATGATAGAGAATTATCTATAGAAACTCTTTTTTTTCTTTCTTCTTTTTCTTATTTCTTTTTTTTTTTTTTTTTTTTTTTTTTTTTTTTTTTATTATTTTTTTTTTTTTTTTTTTTTTTTTTTTTTTTTTTTTTTTTTTTTTTTTTTTTTTTTTAGAAACTGCTAAAATAGCTAATAAAGATGATTTCAAATGAAAAAATAAAATATTATTGGAAATTTACAAATTCTTTGGCAATTCTATACCCATGGAGCATTTAGTATCATCAAATACTTATAACAATTATTTTTGAATTTTTTATTTATTTATTTTATTTTGTCATTTTTTATTTTTTGAATGTGTAAAAATTCTGATTAACAAATGTTAAGCTTGATAAAATTTACACTTTAATAAATAATAGAGATGACAAAATGCTAATAAAAATAGTAACACAAATAAAAAGTAAACTCTAATTCTATAAAGCATGTCAATGTTTTATACTCCTATTTGTCTTTCAAGAGAACTTCTAGACAATCGACCAGGTCTGTAGTATCGTAACATGCATCTTTTACCATCCCCACAAGTTTCAAAACGCCATCTACAATAACAAAGAAGCGAAAAGGCCACGGAGCATACAATCTTAGGAAAGTATCATTCATGGTATCTGCCAACATTGGAATCTTTAGTTGTGTTGCCCGGACCATTTCTTGTGCAGCAGATAAACGGTCAGCTAATGTACGATGTTTCTTAACATCTATGATATTACCAATAGGCCAAACATCACTCGCATGTGCTTCTCGAATTTGAATCATGTAGAAATCTATATGCGTTTGATAACGTTCATATATGTCATTGAGTACATGAGACATGTATCGAAATAAAGGACATGTATATGAGCTTCCGAGAAGAACAAGAGGTCGTCTTGAACGATAAAGTGAATGCAAGGAAATCGTGATCGGTGTATCAGAATTTCTAATCTCTACTGTAGTTGCTAATGATTCTAAAGGAACCAGTGGGCAATCGGGTGCTTTCATTCCTTCCGTGAGATCTCCCTTACGAGCAATGTTATTGCGAACATATAATTGAGTGGTATGAAATGCAGGATAATCTATATGACAAGGTAAAGTTTTCATCAAAAATCTCTTGACAGTAAATAACTTCAAATAGGATATATTTTCATTGTATTCATCTTACCTTTATAAAGCTGCGGAGCACGTCGCAATAATTGTACAGCTTCATTTGAATAGCCAAAATCTTTGACCAACTTTTTCTGCATCTGGTCAGTGACATCCATCCAGTCTATTCCAAGCGTGGGATCATTCCCAACGTTATAATATTGTTTTTGTATTTCTGGCGACAATCTTAACCGTTCCTCTTCACGTAATAAAGTCAAAATCTCTTCCTTTGTGGTTGGAAGTATTGGGAGATAGTAACTGGAGCAATGGCGGTGCATTTTTGAACAATCTTTGTATTCAATGGATTCATAATTTTTAGAAACTGGTATTGTGTATTATGAAGTAAGTTGGATATTTTTATACATTCATAGCACAAGTCATAATCATTACATTCCATACATTTATATCTGTGAACAGAAAAAAGTGTGGGACATAATGTAAGCAGAATTGCATCATCAGAAAAGCAAAATGAATGGATATTATACAAATCATTAAATATTTTCACTAACCTTACTCCTTTCCATTCACTTTTACCACAAGAGTCACAAGCAATACCAATATGAACACCATCTTGTAGGTTTTCTTCAGATGTTTGTGTATATCGCGTAAGTGGTGGTAATGCATTGAACTCTTTTCGACCACTAGTTTCGTGAAACATCCCACCACTAATTTTGAGTACAAGATGTAATTTGGATTTACTTTTGATATTGCAATCCGCCAAAGTGCAATCACTATCCAGTTGCCTTCCAGCAAAAATTAAAGCCTGTATCATAGGTGGAAAGTTTAATTTTTCTCGAATCGCTAATTTAACGAAATAAACACTGAGATTTGAATGTACATCTAGAGAAATTTCTTCTCCACATAAAATATTTATAAATAATTGAAACATTTCTAAATGAGATTCGATTACAAGATTTAATATGGATTCTGTATGAATATTGTAAAATGCCAACGTATACCCATACTTCAATATTCTTCCATTGAAGAAAATTTGTTGTTGATCAAGGGGAATGCCTTCTTTTTCTTGAATCTTTTGAATAATGATCTCGATGAAGTCACTCGAAGATAATATTAGTGTTATAACTTTTCCTGCAGGAGTTTTTATATAAAGTTGTATTGATTCTGGGACAATCCGTTTTGGCATTGTCAGCATTGATAATGGATATTTACTCTCTATTGCAAAGATTTTGTCACCTTCCTAAATTTAAGAAAAATTGTCATGTCATGTATGTACTGTATGCCTATCTCTTTTAGTAGTCATACTCAATCCAAAATATTAAGAGACATCTACCTTGATTCCCAATTTTTCAAGCGTTTCGTCATTACGTATGACCTTGTCATTGTAAGTTAGTTTATACATGGGATTGTTTTCCATTACACAAAATTGAAGAGAGTCTAACAAAAGCCTTCCAGTAGTATGTGCAGTCACATTTGCTTTGTATGTGGATGGTGTAAGGAAATTGATGTAGATAGAAAATGTAGGTGGATAGGCAAGCAAATGCATTTTGCTAGAAATATTTGAACGAGAGACTCGAAGCAATAATATTGTTACACGAGTGGTCACATTGTTCTTATGTTTATATATCAAAATTTTCTTTTAGAATTGATGTACAACAATGGGACAGGACGGTCGATTCTTGATTGTTTATGTCATATTAAACTACTGCAGATCAATATCGTTAATTTCTCGGTTGGTTACGTATGCTGTACGTTACCAATAAACTGCAACTGCAACGAGACGTTTAAATGAAAAAAAAAAGTTATACAATTACCGCCCCTTAGAACATATAAAGCGTTTTTTCCATTACCGAATTTTTTCCCAAGACTTGTTATTAAAAAATTTTGAAATCTCTGTTGACTACCAGATCTAACTGCGTGATTATTTACTGCATATAAGTATGTAATACTACGTTTTCTTATAATGAATAATATATAAACTAAATAAAAAATAAAAATTGATAAGTATATTAATCTAGATCAAATGAAACATTTTTTAATGTTAATGCGTTTTCTCGCTGTCAAGTCTACAGCAAGCACCGAAACGTGTTTGTTAGCGCATAATCATGTATTACCTGAGATAATATTTCAACGTCAGGTAGTTTTAATGGCTGGTTCAAATCCAAAGTCTTATATTGTCGACATTCTTGCTTCGAAAGATTAGTTGGCAATAAAAAAAAAAATTTTAACTTATTTAACTCATTTAACTAGAACAAGGTAAATCAGATTGTAGTTGAGTAATTTTTATAATTCAAGGATCTAGCATACCAAAGAATAAGGATAAACGCTTATGGCTTAGGGACTATTCATTTGTTTCTTCTGAAACTTGAACCCGCGTTTTTTTCCCGCAATACTTTTAAAAAGTGATCCGCGGGAAGTACACAGCACGTGAGAATAGAGTACTGCATTAAAACGATTGACTTATACCAGGTTAATTTTAACAAACCATGCATGTGTAGGACATATTGAAACAATAAATTATTTATAATTTTTTTAAAATAAAAAAAACAAATATAAATTGATATTTTTTTTAATACATAAAAGAAATTTAAATAAATTTCGTTGTATATAATAAATCAAATCAAATAAAAATAAATAAAAATTTTTTCTTTGATAATCCAATCATATATTTTCGTTGATATTTATGAAATTGCATAGTATGGAACAAAGTTTCTGTAAAGTTAATGTAATGCAAAAAAAAAAAAATTTTTTCTTTTTAATAAGTCATTTTTTATAGAACACTAATTTTTGTATAAAGATAGATACCGTATTAAGTATTGTTATTACAGTTGATCTAATAATATTAACGCTTTGGATGCTTCAACGGTTGCCGTTTATTAAAGCTTTATTTTATTAATTGCCTCAAAATATTTAGTAAATTGAATTCATCTTCAAGAACTTGCCGAAACTTCGCCTAAATTTCTAAGATTACTTTATTCAACTAATTTTCAACTTTAATAACATATATAATAAGTTATTACGAATTTGCGACTAATTTTATATGAACGTTAAGAAAATATGCAGTCACAAGATCGAAATTAATTTGTAATTAAACACGTGACTATTTAATAAAAAATCACGGGTGACTTAAATTAAAAGTAAAATTGCAGTAAATGATTTATTGATAAAAAAATGAATTTCTCTTACCGTTACTATTTAACTTAAAATTTTTATTCTTTGGCTCGCAGCGATCGAATGATTTTTTTTCTATGCTTATTTATGAATAGTTCTTGGCCCATTTAAACGGCACTTCGGCAGAGTATTTTTTTTTTTATTTAAATAATAAATATTTGCTTTTTTAGATTATACGCTTGAGTTCTTGCATCTAAGAAACGTACTCATCGCAACCCAGTAAATTAAATTGTAAAAAAAAAAAAAAAATGCTATAGCAGCAGGTGGTTGGATCGATTTATTGTTTCTTTTTTCTTTTGGGTTGGATCGTTTCAGAAGTATAGGTAAGGCTAATTTTTACCTCTTTTTCTTGGTTTTTTTGGTTTGATTGCTTCGAACCGGCTATAAACAGCGGTGGTTAGGGACCACTATAGTGATATAATAAAAAGGTGTGAAGTGAAGTTTCTTCGGTAAATTTTTTCGCAGCCTTGTCTTTCAATGAATAAACCGTTTATTTCAAATGAACTTCATTCATGCCATTTCAAATTTCTAGTTTTTCTCTTTTTGATTCCAACAAATTGGAATATTACGGTCTAAAGTTCAATAAGTTGTTATAAGACGAAAGAGCTTAGCTGTTGCATCTTAATTTGTACCTCTACTGCGAATTATTTTGGGAAAATTAAATATATACCAAATTATTTATTGGCTAATAATTAATATTGATTCTGTAATACGTAACTGTCGTAAATTATATTTTTCATAAACTCTTATTGTTGATGATTTGATGTGATGTTTGCTTAACTTATGATTTTTTCGCAAAGAATAGTCTTTATAGATATTTTTCTTTGTTCAAGTATTATTATGCTAACAAAAAAATACTTTCTCAAATACCACGTGTCTAACATATTTGATTAATTAACTTTCACTAAAATATGAAACAATAATAACATTGCTCGCTAAAGGATATTCATAAAGGAAATTTGGAAAAAACGTATAAGTATACATAATACTTTATAATTATATTTAAAGAAAAGGTAAATAAATCAGGAAATATCAAAAGGAAAGCAGGTCTTTTATTTGGGGTGGGGTTATTTAATATTGGTAGGAAAAGGGGGAATCTAGATGTTTGGTCCACTAGACCGATTTAACCATTAAAAGAACTTGGCTGAAAAGAAGCAGGTGACAAACAAGATAACAAATAGGATTTTTAAACGTAAAAGTAGATAAAGGGAGTGACACAGGTGACGGCTCATAATTTCTTGCCAGCATTAATGATGATCATCTTAGATCATTTCTATATTTAGTATCCCGTGATTTTAATTGCTTACTTCCCATTTCTATACTTTTTCTTTATAAAGCATCTAAAATATATTATTTATTTTTAATCGAAATTCTCGGTTCAGTTCGGATTGAATTATAATCGGGACGAAAACTTTAGAACAATTCAAAATTTTGTAATAGCAAGAGTTTGTCTACTAAGATTACATTTGTTGCATTCAAGTTAAAATAAATTGGTACATTTTAAAAATAGTTCAAGTATAAAAACTACAAAAAAAAAGATTTTTCTTGAGCATTAGTTTATTTTTTAAATAATACTTCACATTCTTACATATATTGATAGTCATTATAATTGAATAAATACTTTCAATTATTAATAATATAATTGTTATACCCCAAATATGTTGATATCCGAAATGTGCATTTGAAATATTTCAGATATTTCAAATGTAAAGATCATTTGGGATATTTGCTTATCCCAAATGCACATTTATCCCAAATATGCATTTCAGATATCCCAAATGCACATTTTGAATAATATCCTAAATAAATATTTTGAATATATTTCAAATGCATATTTCAGATATCCTAAATGTACATTTCAGATAATATTCCAAATGCTCATTTTAGATAATGTTCAAATGCACATTTTGAATAATATCACAAATGCACATTTTAGATAATATCTCAAATGCTCATTTTGGATATCACAAATGAGTATTTAAAATATTTCAAAAGACCAAATCAGACTCATTTTAGATTGTCTTAAATGATAACTAATGATTTGAATTTATTAAATGATAGACTTATAATTTATATTTTATTTATATATATTTAATATTTATATTTATAAAACTTTATTTTTAAATAAAAAATATAAACAAAGATTATATTGGCATTTAAATATCCAAAATATGCATTTAGAATATATCTGAAATATACATTTAAGATATCTGAAATATATATTTAGAATATATCTGAAATGTTCATTTAGGATATTATCCAAATGCATGGGTAAGTGAATATCTCAAATGATCTTTTTATTTGAAATATTCTAATTACGTATTCTAATTTAAAATATTCTAAATACATATTTTGAATATTAAAACATTTGAAATATAATATAATCAAAGTTTTTTAAATCAAGCATACCTATTTTCAAGTGATTAAGGTCATAATTAATTTACACTAATATCACAATTAGATTTAGTTATGATAAAGTTTATTTCAAAACTAAAAATCTAAGAAATAAAAAAAAAATAATCAGTTGATTCTCTAATTATCATAATACATAATATATATTTTTTTATATAAATTTTATGAGGATTATTTGAAATGTAACTCTATATACCATTATTTACAAATTTATAATATATATAATGATAAAAATGAGAAAAATAAAAATATTGGAATGTATCAGCATGTAATCTAAAAAAATTTAAATTCATGAAAAATAAAAAAAATAATAATAATATATACACATTTCTGTGACCTGCATTGATCTAATCTATTATTAATCACAAATTGTACTGCATTTAAGATATTCTCACATTATAATAAATATTATGAAAGTGATACATATTAAATATATAATGCATGTATTATTTAATCTACTTTATAATAAATGTATTAAATAGTTTACTTTTCATTATATATATTATATAGTCTTCTTTATTATTTATATTATATTATCTAATTTTTATAATATGTATTATTTATAATTATCAAAAAGCGTAATATAGTATTAGTTAATAATTTTATATAAATAAATTTGTAAGTTAATAGAGTTTGATCAGAGAATTCAATCAGATAGTTTTCCAAATAAGTCTTAAGACTAAACTTAAAACTCTACAGTTTTAATAAAGTTACTATTTTACACTTTTAACTTTTTTCTTATCTTTATCATAGAATTGATTGTGATATCAACTATACAAGTGAATCATAATAATAAATTATTTTGTTTAATAATCATTAATTTCTTTTAAGAAAGGCATTCAAAATAATTGTGAAATTATTTAGTTTATTAGCTTAGTTTTGATATAATTATAGGTCTAATACCATCTATTCTATCAAAAGAAAATAAAATAAAAAAGCATTAATATCTAAATATGAATAAAA